TAAAATTGTTAGGGAGAGCAAAACTAGGTAGAAGTCTGTGCCAGAAACGGGAGGGAGGCACCCAGAACAGGTGTCAGAGCCCTAGCCGGGCAAGGAGGGTGTCTACACAGAGTGGTGGCCTGGCACGGCATGGGGTGACAGAGCCTCAGCGGCATGAAGCAGGTGTCCCTGAAGGCGAGGGGGCAGCCTGGCACAAGGCGTCAGAGCTCAAGTGGAGTGAGGAGAGCATCTCACAGGGGAGAGGTTGGAGGCAGAAATGGAGATTGGTTACAAGCAGGGGCTTGATCGAGTAAGTAAATAAACTAAGGATAATGGGAGTCAAATTTTTCAGTGACAGAGAAAGCAAAAAACCAAACCTGTTGCCGTCGAGTCAATTGCGATTCATAGCGACCCTATAGGACAGAGTAGAACTGCCCCATAGGGTTTCCAAGGAGCAGCTGGTAGATTTGAACTGCTGACCTTTCGGTTAGCAGCTGAGCTCTTAGCCACTGTGCCACCAGGGCTCCAGTAACAGAGAAAACAAAAACAAAAAACCAAACCCATTACCATCAAGCTGATTCCATCTCACAGCAACCCTATAGGATAGAGTAGAACTGCCCCCTAGGGTTTCCAAGGAACAGCTGGTGGATTTGAACTGCCGACCTTTGGGTTAGCAGCCAAGCTCTTAACCAGTGCACCACCAGAGCTCCAGTGACAGAGAAGGGAGGTATAAATACAGAAAGGGCAAAAACTAGAATGAGCCCTGTTGTGTTGATTGGAATTGGAGATATTGATCTGAACTCATGTATTTCAGTATGTATAAATAGATATAGAAACAAATGTAAATGTGTGCGTGTGTGTGTTTATGTACATTCACCTCTTGGCTCTGGGAGGGCCTGGGAGCAGTGATACCCTAATAGCAATGAACAGATGTTGGTTTCCAAACACAATTCTAGTGTCCAGATCATGATTTGTAAATACCATTCTCCTCTAAAAGACTGAATCAGAGCTCCCTGGAGTACTGATTGATCTCCAGGGATGGAGCTGGAGAACTAGTATCTTATATCAGAAAACAAAGAAGTTTTCAAAGAATGATGGGAACATGTCAGAAGGATGTAGACTTCAGCTTGAAAGTGCTCCCATTGGCCAAATCTATGACAATCTGAGCAACAAAATAATGATAATAGATTAGGAATCCCTGAGTGGTGCAAACGGTTAAGCGCTTGACTACTAGCTGAGAAAGGTTGGTGGTTGGAACCCACCCAAAGGTGCCTCAGAAGACAGGTCTGGCAATCTGCTTCCAAAAGATCACAGCCTTTAAAACCCTATGGAGCTGTTCTACTCTGCACACATGGGGTCGCCATGAGTCAGAATTGACTGGACGGCACAAACAACAACAATAACAGATTACAACTCACTGAATAAAATCGAGGCCATGAGTTCATACGGCTATAAATACGTACACACATGCATGCATGTGTTCAAAGCATGAGGTGGAATATCTACATAGTTTTGAAATATTCATTCATTACGGAGGGGAAAGGAGCAACTGCAGTAGAGAAGCCTGGCACACACCACCTTAATCAAGTGACCAAAGTGAATAGTGGACAAATGGAAGATGTACTGAGAAAGTGACCAAAGTGAATAGTGGACAAATGGAAGATGTACTGAGAAGAACATGGTATCACTTCTGTGATATTCCTGCTAAAGATGCATAACCTGAATCTAATCACAAGGATACTGGTGTTTCAGTGGTAGAATTCTTGCCTTCCATGCAGGAGACCCAGGTTCGGATCCCACCCAGTGCACCTCAAGCATAGCCACCACCTGTCTGTCAGTGGAGGCTTGTGTGTCGCTCTGACACTAAACAGGTTTCAGAGGTGCTTCCAGACTAAGATGCACTAGGTAGAAAGGACTGGGATCAACTTCCATAAACCAGCCAATAAAAACTTATGGACCACAGTGGTCAATCTTTAACTCATTATGGGGATGGCACAGGATCAGGCAGCCTTTTGTTCCTTTGTGCATGAGGTCATGATGAGTTGGGGGTTGACGGGAAGACAGCTCACAACAACAACAACAATCACAAGGAAACCTCAGACAAATCCAAATTGAGAAACATGCTTCAAAATAACTACTACTCTGCAAAAATGTCAGTCGTGAAAGGCCAGGAAAGACTGAGGGGCTGTTCCAGACTGACAGAGACTAAACAGCTATGACAAACAAATGCAGTGTAAGATTTTGGACTGAGTCCTCTCAGTGTAACAGATTTCACTGGGGTATTTAGTGAAATTTAGAAGTGGTTTAAGATTAGATGGTGATAGGGATTGAATTGTGTCCCCCAAAAAGATATGTTGAAGTTCTAACCCCGGTACCTGTGATTGTGACCTTGTTTGGAAACAGGGCCTTTGAAGGTGTCATCAGTTAAATTAACATGAGGTTATAGTGGAGTAGGGTGGGTCCTAATTCAGTCTGATGGGTGTCTTTATAAAAGAGAAGAAGAGACACAGTGAGACGGACAGTGGAAAGACTGCCTCGTGAAGATGAATTCACGCATCGAGGAACTCCTGGGGCTATACCAGAAGCTAGGAGAGACAAGAAAGGAACTTCCCCTAGGGGCTTCATACACCATGGCCCTGTCGACACCCTGAATTCGGGCTACTGAACTCCAGAACTGTGGCACAACTAATTTCTGTTCTTATAAATTACTCAATTTGTGGTGTGTTACAGCAGCCCTAAGAAACTAATACAGATGCTCAATGTTTAACATTAATTCCCTGATTTTTATGGTTTTATTGTGGTTTGTAGGAGAATGTATGTGGTTATTTCCTGATTCTGATGGTTATATTATAGGGAATTATGGGACATTCGATTGGCAAATTACTCTCAAATGGTTCAGGGGAAAAAACTTCCCTGTACTGTACTTGCAACTTTTGTGTAAGTCTGTGATTGTTTCGAAATAACAACAAATAAATTATTGACATGTGAAGAGGTGAGCAGAGTATATAGCTAAAAATTGTAGGCAAAAAATGTTGGAAATAGTGGTGATAGTTGTACAACGCTGCGGATGTAATTAGTGCCACTGAATTGTACACTTAAAATGGTTAAAATGGCAAATTTTATGTTATGTATATTTTAACACAATTTAAAAATACGTAGGCAGATATTATCAGGAAATTTGTTAACAAAAATATCTTGGTTTTCTCCTGGCTTTCTTTGTGTTTTCTGTCAGTTTATTTTAAATTTATAATTTGTAGTGATTTGTTTTCTCATGTTTAATATTCACATTCATATCTGATTTTCTGTTCTTTTCTTAAAGAGCATCCTGCAATTTGTATAAGCTTTAAGCCCCATAAAACCAGTATCCATCCCTGGCCATTCTTGCTACTGTTTTAAAGAGGAGGAAACTGAGGCACAGAGAGATGAAGTGATTTGCCCAAGGTCACTCAGCTAGGAAGTGATGAGGCAGGATTTGAACCCAGGCAATTTGAGTCCAGAATCTCCTTCAGTGGGATGCGGTGAGGATCCAGTGAGATAAAAGGACATGAAAGGAACTTTACGAATTCAGGGAACCAAGATTATTCACAATCAAATGGAAGATGTGTGCCTGTTTTTCTGCCGGTACTTAGTTCCTTAGTCAGTCACCCTACTGTATGCCAGAAACTGCTTGGAACTTGACATCCAGGATTTCACTTTGTCCTCACAGAAGCCCTGAAGGCAGGTATTATTGTCTCAGATGAGGCTCCTGAGGCCCACAGAGGCCACATAGCCAGAATGTGATGGAGCCAGGAGCAGGTGCCAAGACTGGGTGGTGCCAGCGCCTATGTCTCCCTTCCCAGGGTACCAGGCTGCCCTACACTGTGATAGCAAAAGGTTTGCCAGGCTGAGCTTGCCCAGGTCCAGGGATGTGACACAGGTGAGGACCTCCTCACCCCCTCCCACACCCCACGCCCCATTGTGAGACAGATGCCCAGGACAGAGGAGCTGTGTGGTGGGCAGGGCATCACCTGCGGACCCGGCAGCAGCAAGGTGCGTGCTCACCCCGGTAGCCACCAGCTCTGGTTGCGTGACTGGGCCAGTGGATGAAGGGAACAAACAAGGACTTTCGAGTCAGACAGATCTGGGCTCTGGACCTTCCTAGCTGCATGACCCTGGACAAGTGGCTTCACCTCTTTGAGTCTCAGAAAGTGAAAATCTTGCCTCATAAGGAAGTTGTGAATATTAGAGTGCAAAGTGCCTGGCACACAGTAGGTGCTTAGTAAACAGCAACCATGTTTCATTTTTAATCTGTGACGATTTAGCAGATGTGGCTTTTCAGGATCTCTGGGAATCCAGAGTGGGGAGAGGGAATTCGGAAGGACCATATTTCTGCAGGGCCCCCAGAGCTGGAGTTAAGGGAAGGGCCTCTAGATAGCACAGTGGGCACAGTCCTTCAGCCCCTCAGGGCCCTGGCTCCCTGCCCTGTTGCCTGTTTCTTACCAACAACAGGCGCAGGGCCCCAAGGTTAGGCAAACAAGCCAGTGATAAGACACTTCCAGGTTGGGCTTGCGTTCAAGGCTTGTCCAGCTCTAGGCTGGCTGCCTGGCTTAGTGAGGGCCCTGGTCTTGTGCGTACACAAGAGCAGGGCACCAGTAGGGACACCTGCCATGGTCGCCTGCTGATTGTGCACTTGAGGCCTTGGTGCCCTGGTACAGCCTGGGTTAATGACCCTGTTTATCCGCTTGAGTCACCCGATAAGGGGCAGTGGGGTCAGCTGGCAGGCGGCCTTATGCCCTGCACCAGCCCTTTCATTGACTGAAGTGATATCGCTGCCACGTGGAGCGCCCCCTGTGCCCCTCCCCCGCCACTTCCCCGCCAGTCCTGCCAGGGTCAGTGTGTGTGTGTTTTTTTTTCAATGAACATGATCCTGGAGTCAAGGTTGTCTGGGCGGTCCCCCCTCCCGCCCTGGGATATATAAATAGCACCCACAGCTCAGAGCAGAGGGCAGGACAGCTGGGAGGAAGAAGCAGCAGATCCCGACCATGAGCTTCAGCCAGCCAGGGGCCTGCCCATGCGGGGTTGCTGCAGGCCGCCCACCCATCCTGTATGCACTCCTGAGCCCCAGCCTCAGGGCCAGGCCCTCTGTCCCCCCAACCGATAGCCGCTGCCTGTGCCAGCAGCACAAGCCTGTCCGCCTGTGTACTCCCCACCGTACCTGCCGAGAGGCCTTGGATGTTCTGACCAAGATGGTGACCTTCCTTAGGAATCTGCCATCCTTCTGCCAGCTGCCCCCCCAGGATCAGCGGGGGCTGCTGCGGGACTGCTGGGGTCCCCTCTTCCTGCTTGGGTTGGCCCAAGACGCTGTGACCTTTGAGGTGGACGAGGTCCCGGTGCCCAGCATACTCAAGAAGATCCTGCTGGAGGAGCCCGGTAGCAGTGGCGGCAGTTGTCAGCTGCCTGACAGGCCCCAGCCCTCACTGGCTGCAGTACAATGGCTTCAGTGCTGCCTAGAGTCCTTCTGGAGCCTGGAGCTGGGGTCCAAAGAGTATGCCTACCTGAAAAGGACCATCCTCTTCAACCCTGGTGAGCTTCCAGACACTCCTGCAGGGGAGGGGGTCAAGGCTGGGAGGGAGGGGTGGATAAGGCCCATCCAGAGACGGCACCTTCCAAGGGCTTGACATCCTTTATCTCATTGGGTCCGAATGATCATTAAATACCCATCTCACAGAAGAGGCCCAGAGAGGCTAGGTGACTTCTTGAAGGTCACACAGCCAGGTAGGGGGAGGACAGGGATTGGGAACTTACATCTATTCACTCCAGAGACTGGCCTTTGTTATTCTGCCCCAAAATGTTTCGCTACCCTTAGGGAAGGCAGGAATGTGGGAGGTGAGAATGGGCAGATGCAGCTGTGTCTCAATCACATCTCCAGGGGCAGACTATGTAGTGAGTTTCTGAAGGTAGAACTCCACGGGTTCAGAAAAACCACATAGAGGGGAGGAACAAAGGGCGTGTCCTGGGGAGGGAGTCTTTGTGAAATTCAGCCAGGAGAGCAGCAGATAGAGATACCATTCTTTTAATCTGGAGAGCATCTGAGATGAGAGTTCCCTACCAAAGGGCCTCACAGAACGCTTAATGACAGTAATTATAATAATAGTAGTGAATGCTCATATTACACTTACTGTATGTTAGGCCCTGTTCTAAGGGTTTTACATACACTAGCTCATTTAAACCTCATAATAAGCCTGTGAAGTAGGTATTCTTACTTCCATTTTACAGATAGGGAAACTGAGGCTCCAAGATTAGGTAACTTGCCTAAGGTCACATAGCTTCTAAGTGATAGCACCGGGATTCAAATCCAAGCAGCTTTTAACCATTACTTTATACTGCCTCTCCATAAACGTATGGATGAATAAAATGAGAAATAAATAGAAGGAGGAGGTCATGGTGGGGCCTCCAAGGCTGAGGAAAGGCGGCAGTGGGTGTCTGCTAGTAGCCTCGCCCTTTGGTGGCTGGGAGTGGGGTGTTCACCAGCCCTCTTCACCCTATCTGCCCACAGATGTTCCAGGCCTCCATGCCCCTTCCCACATTGGATACCTACAGCAAGAGGCTCATCAGGCACTGTGTGAGGTCCTGGAGCCCTGGTGGCCAACAGGCCAAGGCCGATTGGCCCGCATCCTCCTTATGGCCTCCATCCTCAAGTCCATTCCACCTGGCCTGCTTGGGGAGCTCTTCTTTCGCCCTATCATTGGAGATGTCGACATGGCTGGCCTCCTGGAGGACATGCTTTTGCTGAGCTGACCTGCTGCGGCCTAGGCGGAGATCAGGTGTAGGCTGGACAGAGGTTAGCAGCACTGACTCAGCCTGGCTGTCCCCAGGAGTGACCTGGTGCTCCTGGAAGGGGCAAGCCTGTACAGACAGCAAGCTGGGCCTGGTCCAGCCAGATGCGCTATGGGGCCCTCACTCAGCCCCACCAGGCGTTGGACTTCTTTGGTTTGGACCCAGTGCTCTAGCTGTCTGGCTGACCCTTGGTGGTTCCCAGAGCTTCTGGCCCAAGACTACTGTCCCCTCTGGGATGAGGACAGAAACTTAGGCTGCTCATTGGGCCAAAAGTCTACCAACTTTGTACAGAACTCACTTAACTTATTGGTTTTTATAATAAAAAGTTGTGACACCCTCGGAGTCTGATACTGTAGTTTGTGCATATGGAAGGGACCATCTCACCTCCAGGGCCCATCCTGCCCCTTTCAAAGGGAGTCCAAGGAGAAGGAGCCATAAGGGGTGCAGGAGTTGTGCCTTGGGAAATTGGGGTATTAATTTTTCAGGATGGGGTGATGATTTCATTTCTGGGAAGGAGATTTATTTTGCCTCTGGGTCTGAACTCAGGGACAGGATTAGTTCACAGCCCTCTCACCTCCTTTCTTTTATCCTTGGAGGGAGGGGGCTTCTCCCCCATCCCCAAACCCTCACTGACCCCTTCTCTGGTCCTCACCCTCTACAGGCTCCCACTCACCTCAGTGAGAGTCTGAGCACAGCCAATCAGGAAAATGAAGCAGCCCATTCCCAAACTGAAACAGACAAGGCCACTGGAATTTCTGTAGCTTAGAATAATTCACTTTCCCCATTCCTGAAGCTAATGGGAGAGGGTGATCCATTTCTCTCCCAGTGGGTGGAGGGAAGGGGCCCTAGGGCTGGCCTGGCAGCTGCTTGGAGGAGAAGACAGACCGACGGTTAGCTGGCCCACAATATAGTACAGTCATTTGTTGTTGTTGTTGTCGTTGTTAGGTGCTGTCGAGTTACTTCTGACTCATAGTGACCTTACAGGACAGAGTAAAGCTGCCCCATAGGGTTTCCAAGGAGTGGCTGGTAGATTTGAACTGCTGACCTTTTGGTTAGCAACTGAGCTCTTAACCACTGCACCACCAGGGTCCAAGGTATAGTCATACAGGTGGCTAAAAATCTGCATCACTTCCATGACAGTTGGCTCAAAGCCACTGCCCTGAGCCCCCTTCAATTCCCTTCAACTGTGCCTCTGCCCCAGCCCCTCTCCTGGGATATTCCTCCCAGACATTCCCACTGTCCCGCAACTAGAGGAGCAACACTTGACATAGCCATGGCCTCCGGGACTGCTCCGCTCAGAGCCAAGGCTTGTGTCTGTTCTGATTGGTCGATGTCTGTGCCTCACGGTTTGTTAAATATTTTGAATATCACCCCTGGATCAGGGTGACTGACCTGCAGGGTGGGCAAAAGGGATGATAACACACAAGCCTATAGACCCCCTTTCAGGTGTCTTCCTTTCTCCAGCAATAGGGCCTGCCCTGACCAGGCCCCACCCCACCCCCCTCACCACCACAGTCTGGATTCTTCTCACGGGGGGCCAAGTTAATTATTGTTCAACAAAAGGTCATTCACTTGGAGACAACAATCTAGGAGTTGGCACCCAGCCAGTATAGGGACCATAGCTGGACTGGCCATGTAGCCGATATGGGCACCAGTGCCAGTAGCAAGGGCACCTCTGTCCCTTACCCAACCACCCATTCACAACTCAGACATCCAGACAGAGAAAGAAACACACAACTCAGGCCCCACAACAAAGATACACACAACTCAGACCTACAACTCTGACACACACAGTAAGACTACCACTCAGACATACCTACACAGACCCATAAATCAGACTCCCACCCACCTGAAATGCACAGCCCAGATCCACTCAGTTAGGGACATACGGCAGATGCTCACCCAAGCCAGACAGTCACACATACACCCTGCTCTGAGGGTGGGGCACACAACAGGACATATCCTCAAACAAGGGAATGTTCTTTGTCATCAGTATGTAACAGTAAACGGGAAAGCGCTCCCCAAAGGAGGTAGACCTATGTCTGTACATTTTCAGGGTCCTTCCAGAACCTGGAAATCCAGGCCAAACTGCTCTGCCTGCCATCTGAGGCCTCAACTAACCAATGAGCCCCTTTCCCCACGGTGACTCCAACATCTGCCCTCCTCTCAGCCAGGCCATGCCTTGCTTAACAACTCCACCTAGAAAGTGCCCTCCCCGCAGCGAGGACCTAACCAAATCCCCAAAGTGAAGCATCCTCTGGAACCCAGAACAAGCCCTGCACCAACCCCACTCCCCATCAGATTGCCCAGACCTCAGGCTCTCAGCCGTCTCTCCCTGGCCTACCCTCTACAGTCGTCTGGTTCATACTACCCCATCTAATCTCGCAGACTTCTGAGGTCACTCTTTCAAGAGCATAAGCCTTGTTCCCCAGTCAGCTGTCAGGGCTGAGGTCCACTTGCTTTTTTCTCTTCTAACACCCCATTCTGGACACACAGAAGGAAATTGGTTCAAGTTTCTTAAACAGAATTCTAAAGTTCATGGAGTCAAATTGAGTAGATTCAGGGACTTTGGGTCATTCTGTATCTTTTATGCCCTTCATCATCTGCCCTGTTAGTTAGCTGCTGCACCTCTCTGAATCCACAGGCTGACTCTTCCTGCCCCACCACTCTCTTCCTCTAGCCTTAATCAATCTCTACAAAGCAGTCCTCTCCCCTCCCCACCCTAGCCTTCTTTCTTCAACTTACTCAGTTTCCATCATCCACATAGCTTCCTTTACTGACTTTACCTTGCTCCTTTCCAAATTTCTTCCCTCCCCCTCCACAAGGTTGGGGACCTATACTCCTGTCTGTTTCTTGTTTGTATCTCTGTGTCACTCCCTGTGCCCTACCCCCAGACCTTGTGCTAGGAACATAAAGATAAATATAGCAAAACTGAAGAGACAATTATGCTACAATACAATAAGGGCAATAATGGTTTCTCCATGAGACTGAAGGCTCCCAAAGGTGGTTGACTCTGTCTCCATTATCAGTGGCTCCTGGGGGTGGGATCTGTGTCTCCTCTCCCAGGGAGGGCAGAGGGGGACACAGGCTCAGACAGGGTATGTTACTCAAGGTTCTGGGTTGATACTGCCTGCCTTGGGATTCAAACACAGGCCTTTGTGATACTGGAGGCTGGGCTTTCACCACCAGCCCAGGCTGAAGTGAATCGTGGTGGAGATCAGGCAGTCTGGAGCCAGCTCAGCCACTGTTTACTGACCGTCTACCTCTCAGCCAGGATAGAGGCCTCCAGCCCCGGCCAGGGATGACTCGTTGGGAAGCAGGAGTGTAGCTGTGGCTCTGGGTCAGCCTCAAGTACCTTATTATTGCCACTGTTATCTCTACCTTCATTAGCCAAATCATCGACTGCTTATTAAGCAGGCTGTCAGTTAGCTGACGTGTGTGGTGCCCTGCACAGACACACCCTGCCCTTGGAGCATTCACATTCTAGAATCAAAAAGCCAACCCCGACTAGCCTCCCTCCATTCTTTCTATCACTCAACGTCTCTTGACGTCCACTTGCACCAGACTCTGTGCTAGATGCCGGGGACACAGAATAAAAAAGGCACGGTCCCTGCCCTCTTAGAACTCCCTGTCTGTGGCAAAGGAAGACACATAAGTGATTATAGCAGAATGATCTGAACTGTGATAGAGGGACGTACAATCGGCAACAGGAGCACAGAAGAGAAAGTGGTTAAATCTTCCTGAAGGTGAGAAAACGCTTCATTCAAGTGACGACTGGTTTGAGCTAAAGAGGATTATTAGGGGTTTGCCAGGCAAATCAAGGATAGGCATTCCAGATAGAGGGAACGATATGCACAAAGGCACAGAAGCGTTAGAGAGCAAGTGACCCAGGGAAGCAAGAAATGAGCCTGGGGAGGTGCACAAAGACCACATCGAGAAACAAGGCAGCAGAGAAGAGAAATCCCAATGAAACTGGCGGAGTGACAAGAATAATGTCTCCAGGGAATGCGGGTTAACAAAGGGGACCTTCCATTCCTGGCAGGGCATGTCCAGAGGAGACCCCAGCCTGTCAGCTGCTCACTCTGGGTAGCTACCAAACAATAACCAGCTCACATGTATTCAGAGCTGTGTTCTAAATAGTTAGAAGGATTATGTTATTTAATTCTCACAACTATGTGCTGTTAGTACTATCATCACCTCCATTTTATATGTGAAGAAATTGAGGCACGATTGAACAACTGGTTCAAGATCACACAGCTAATAAGTGGCAGCACCAGAATTTTAACTGAAGTGGTCTGGCTTCAGGGCCCACACTCTTAAACACCACGCTATGCTACATTTTTAAAAGTCAGGGATGGACAACTAGAGAATAAACACCACCTAGACGCCTTCTCCTCTCCATCCCATTATAAGGTAGAATGAGAGTGAAAATGAAATCTTGGTTTCTTTTGAGTTTAGGTTATTGATGAGAAATCTGGCCTGTGTGTTCCCCCAGGGAAGTGGCCCCACTTTCCCTGAATAGCCTGGATAGAGTCCCCAGCCACACGGAAGGGTGCATCCCCATGTTAGTTCCAGGGATGTTCATTCTGTCAGTGAGGATTTATTGAGAGTCTACTATGTAACAAGCATCATTCTAGGTCCTGGAAATTTAGCTCCACAAATGGGGAAGGACCCATAAACGAACAACTTCTTGGGTCATCTAACAGCTTCTCCAGAGAACATCATCTTTATTTTGGACTATATTGTCTGCTCTATAGCATTTATTTTTCAATTTCCAGATTTCTGTAAACTTAGTTTAAAGTAAACTTTTTCTGTACAACATACAGGAAAGTATACATATCCTAACTGTATAGCTTGATGAATTATCATAAAATGAACACACTCCTGTAACCACCACCCGGCTCAAGAAATAGAGCATTAGCAACACCCCAGAAACCCTGCCACAACTACACTGTTCCTCCTCTCCACAGGTCACCACCGCCCCTAGTTTCTAACACCATAAATGATTGCCTGTATGGAACTTTATATAAATGGTATCACACTGCATGTACTCCTTTGTATTTGGCTTCTTTCACTCAACATTATGCCTGTGAGATTCATTCTATTGCTCTGTGTAGCAGTAATCTATTCACTTTCATTGCGGTAAAGCATCCCTTATACCACAATTTATCCATTATACTGTTGATGAAAATATTTGGGTTGTTTCTCATTTTGGGCTATTATAAATAATTCTTCTAGGATCATTCTTGCATAGGTCTTTTGGTGCACAGTTGTATGCAGTTATTTTGCTATCAAACAAGAACTGGAATTAATGAGTCATAGAATGTATGTTCAACTGTAGTAGATTTTGCCAAGTTTCCAAAGTGATTGTACCAATTTGCACTATTACCAGCAGATCTATAGCACATTTAAAATCCATGTATGATGTTGTTCCTATCCATAACTACCCAGCCACCCATTAAAACTTTTTTTTTTTAAATTCATTTTATGGTTGTATATTTGTGATCACTACAAAGTAACCACTTGCTTTATGGCTTTTCAAAATACAAGTTATATTTCCCTTTTAGGATAGTTTTTATTAAATGTTGAGTAAAACAAAAATATTTATAAAATATATGTAAAGTATAAGGAGTAACAGTACAACAAACCCTCATCATTGTTTCATAGAACATTATTACCATTAACTTCGAAGTTTCTTCTCTAAACCCATCACTTCCCCCCAGAGATAGTCACTACACTGAATCTTGGGTTAATCTAATCATTCCTTTGCTTTTCTTTATGGTTTTACAACATATTTATTTATGTATCCCTAAAAAATATTTTTAGTTTGCATTTTTGAACTTTATAAAATGGAGTAAGTCTGCATGTATTTTGCGACTTGCTTTTTCACTCAATATCATGTATCTGAAATTATTAGTACTAAATGCCAATTTTTTGCACTGCAGCTATGAACATTCATCTGAAAGTCTTCTGATAAACATGTGGGTGAAAGATATGTGTACCTTAAGTTTTACAAGATAATGCCAAATTGTTTTCCAAAGCGGTTGCACCAGTTTGCGCGCACACCAACGGTACATGAGAGCTCCAGTTGCTCCACATCGTCACGGACAGTTGAGGACTTTTTAATTTTTGCCAAGTTGGTGGCTGTGAAGTAGGTCTCATTGCATTTCCTTAATCATTAATGAGGCTGAGAAACTTTTCATCGTTAATTAGTCGCGCGTGTTTCCTGTTCTGTGAGGTGTCTTCGGCCCATTTTTCTACTTGCGTTTTTCTTTCTGATTTGTGGGAGTTCAATATGTTTTGGAAGAATAAATGGCTGAAAAGGTCCTGAAATTAGGAAGAACTGAGATCAGCTTTGGGAAATCCCCAAAAGCGAATCTTAAAAAATTGCCCCTCCCGCAGGCTTCTTAGTTGATTCTCATTACAGCCTTATGAAAGCCCTTTATAATCTCATTTCTCAGGTGAGTTCTTCCATCCTCGCCAGTTTCCCCCTGTGGGAAAAGCGCCCGGACGTAGTCTCCGGATCCGTCCCAGCTACAGGTTCCAGATCGAAACAGCAGCGAACCAATAGCAGATCTCAAAGTACTGCTGCGCAAGAAACCGCACTGCAGCGCACGATGTTCTCGCGATACTTGGCACGAGGCGATCATGTGACAACCCAAAATGGCGACCCCCAGCGAGGCGGAGGAGGAGGAGACCTTTTACTTGGTAGTAAGTGGTATTCCCTCGGAGTTGCGCTCGGCCCAGTTACGGAGCTACTTTAGCCAGTTCCGGGAACAACGCGGCGGTGGCTTCCTCTGTTTCCACTATCGGCATCGGCCTGAGCGGGCCCCTCCTCAGGCTGCTTCCAACTCTTCCCTAGCACCCATCGATCCTGCCGCTGAGGGCCAGGTTCTTGCTCAGACTTCGGCCGCCGATTCCCGTGCTCTCTCCGCCCGGGACTCGGCACCGGTCCAGACCCGCACCTGCTGCTGCGTCATCTCGGTACGGGGGGCGGCTCAGGCCCAGAGATTTCTTCGCATGTACTCGGGCCGCCAGTGGCTGGATTCTCAGGGGTCTTGGCTGCCCGGTCGCTGTCTCATTCGCAGACTGCGACTACCTACCGAGGCATCAGGTATGAGTGAGAAAGACAATAGCCGGGGACAATGGCTTCTGGAACAGAAACACCTTTCCTGGGGGTAATAAGGATAAATCACGCTTTCTGGTTCTGACTCATTAAGAGTTTAGGTCATTTCTTTTATTTCTGGACAGAGCTTCAGGCTCAACTGAACTTTAGTGTAACTGTAAAATAAAATGGTAGTGGTAGCATCAGAACCTGTGTTAACTTCAGGGGGGATAACGCGAATCAAGATCAGCCTAAGGCTGATCCCTATGAGGTGGAAGTCAAACATACCTCCACTCCCCAACCTTTTTACCAATTTTGACACCATTCATCCCTCCCACGGCACTCCCTATTTCTCTTATGAACTCGATAATCTGTTGCAGTGGCCACAGAGAACTCACAGACCATACTTAGAGTTAAGTGGTGTGTTAAAGAAGTAACAGGATACAACTTGGGATCAGGATCAACAGGCTACAACTTAGGATCAGGATCAGGAAGCATTTAGGCAAGGTCTGGAAGGTTCTCCTGAAGTGGAGAGGACATCCTTCCTTCTTCAGTGCAGGAAAGTTCTCTCTGCTCCTCTCCACTGTGCAAGCAAGCAAGTCCTTCTCTCTGCAAAGTATGCCCCCCTCTGAGCAGGCCTCCTCTCAGCCCACCCTCTCTCAGCCTTGCAGGGATCCTTTCAGCCTTCTCAGGACAGGCCTCTCTGCCTTCTGCCTCCCTCCCGTCACCACCGACTCTGAGGCAGGGCTCCTTCTGGGCCTGTCAATGCTGGCTCTGCCACTGGGCTGCTTCTGGGCCTCTTGCCGTCTTCAGTGTTACAACCCTTGACCTGTGTTACAGCTCTTTTAGGAGGTTCTTTGCTTCCTCTCTCTCTGCTTTTTCTCTGTTCTTGCCTCTTTTGCCTTTTCTCTGTTCTTGCCTCTTTTGCCTTTTCTCCTTTCTGCCTACCAACCTCTGTGTGTTTGGCTGCATATATAAGCAAACCTCCTGGTCAATTTCAAGGCATGACCCTCTTGGTAGGCCACAGACACTTCATTTGCATAGTAGGCTATAGTCACTTCATTTACTTAAGTATATTGACCAATCACACAGGAGGCTACAGCCCAGGCCAGACAAAAAGTATCAAACTACAAGCTGTTTACAGTTTACACAGGAAATGTCAATCAACCTGGACAAAAGTAAAGTTAGAGAACTAGGGCAAACGTAACTCATTGAGGCTTAAGGGAAGAATCTCTTAAGCTGTTTTTCCAAAGAACCAGGGCAAAAGGCCACATAAAGGAACTCATTTCACCACAGTGATGCAGGGAAAAAAAAAAAAGGGAGAGAGGCTTATTCAGATGATCTTCCATTTCCCAATTTATTGAGTCATTTGCAAACACATAGAGCTGTGAAAGCCCATGAAACTTTCAGGACATGTTAAATCATTTAGTGTGGCTGGAATACATGGTATGAGGGTGTGAAAGGGGTGGGAGTTGGTGGCAGTTGAGACTTGAAAGGTCAGCAGGAACCAGGCCTGGAAAAACTTGTGTGTTGGTCCGAGGTGATGAAAAATGGCATGAAATTGCTAGGTGGGTTTGGCCAGGGAGGGGAGGAGGGGACTCTGGAAAGAGGAAAACGGTGTTAGGCTAAAGGATTTAAACTTTGACCAATTTCTGGCCCGAGTGTTGCTGGAGGCTTCTGGGTTTCAAGATCCATTCTTCTTCCTTCCTTCCCAAGATTTGGGCTCCTTTCCCTTCAAGACCCGGAAGGAGTTGCAGAGTCGGAAGGCCAAGAGTGAAGCCTTCACCCTGGCTGACCTGAGACAACTGCCAGAGCTGAACCCACCGGTGCTGATGCCCAATGGAAATGTGGGGACTCCCCTGCGGGTCTTTTTGGAGTTCATCCGGGCCTGCCGCCTACCCCCCCGGATCATCACCCAGCTGCAGCTCCAGTTTCCCAAGACAGGTTCCTCCCGGCGTTATGGCAATGTGCCCTTCGAGTACGAGGACTCAGAGACTGTGGAGCAGGAAGAGCTTGTGTACACAGCAGAGGGCGAGGAAATACCCCAGGGAGCCTGCCTGGTAGCTACACCAGCCAGCCCTTGTGGAGAGCCAGAAGAAGAGGATAAGGAGGAGGAAGAAGAGTCTAACTCAGATGATGTGAGTATAATGAGGCACCTATCCTTGCTGACAGCTTGGAGAGGCCAGAGCATTAAGAATACCAAGCTTCAACTGTAAATTACAAGAGTTCTTAGTTAACCTGGGGTCCAAGGAGCGTTCTGAGGAGCATGAGAACTCCCTGACGTTGACTGTAAAACTGCATTTGCATGTACATATATGCATTTCTTTAGGAAGAACGTCCACAGCATTTATCAGAAGATTCTCAAAGGGGTCCTCTTTTCATTCCTTCAGAAGGAATGTAAAGAGAGTCCCTTTTCATAACGGAAAACCTACCAACCAAGATATGTGCAATCACTTCTCTAAGACCATCTAAGGAAGCAGAGACAGAGCTGAGATGTGAAGTCAGTCCCCCTCACTGCTTCTGTAACCCCTATGTGCTTTCATCTTGTAGTTGAGAAGTCACTTCTAATTTTCTGACCTTGAGGCTGTGGATTGAACACTAGCCTCCACTCTTACTTTCTTATCAATGAAGTAGACATTTTTTCCACCCCTTTCTCTAAACTTGGTTGTCCATCCATAAAAATCAGGTGAGCTGTGATTTGTTGGGAAAGTTTTTTTGTGCACACTCTAAATAAAAATAGCGCATCCATGTCTTCAAAGTTCCCAGTGCAGCGTTGCTAATACATTTGGACTACATCCTTAGTGTGGTACTGCCTTGACTTTTTGCCAGCACCTGGTCTGTAGCAGTGATTCTGAGGCCTCTTAGGAATTTAACTGGGACAGGGGCCCACACAGTTTTGAGCCGAAGTTATCCCATTATTCCACAAGTCCAGTCAAGCAATTGTACGCCAGGAGCTTGTGCAGGATTCCAAAGACACTAAGGCCTATTTCCTGCCCTCAAAAAGCCTAAAATCTCCCTAAAGAGAGTACCAGCACCTGGAGAGGCTGCATGGTATGGTGACCTCAGTCTGAACACAGACTCTGCCACTCTTTTGACGTGCTGTCTTGAGCAAATCGCTATTTCTCTGAAGCTAGGTTTTCTCATCGGCAGAATGAGAGTAATGGTACTTATCTCACACAGTTGTTAGGATGATTAAAGGAGTTAAGTTATGTGAAGGGGAAGCCACACAGTAGACAGTGTTTTTGTTCCTTCTCCTTTCTTTGTAAAATAATGTGTAAAGGACTAAACAGTACATACTGATTACCACTGAGTTGTTCAGAGACCAGTGAGAGCACTGTGGGCCTGAGTGTAGGTGGGCTTCATGTAGACTGTAGGACTTAAGGATGAGGAGGATTTAACTAAGTGGAGAAGAGGAAGGCAGATATTTCAGGCAGGGGAACAATGTAGCCAAAAGTGCAGAGACAGGAATGAGTCAGGCTTGTGGGGGGAAAGGGAAAAGTATGTTGAGAAACAAGGGATGGAGATATTTTGAGCACGGCCTCCAGTGCCAAATACGTACTGCTTCTCAGAGAAATTTGAAGGCATGGAGCCAAGGGCCCAGCCTCACATGACTCCTGTGCTCCGAGCATCCCTCCTCCTGGGCCTGAGGTCAGGAAGCTAGACCAGCAGGTCACCTGTCCTGTCCCACCTTCCCCAGGACGATGACCGGGGTGAGGAGTGGGAGCGGCATGAAGCGCTGCATGAGGATGTGACCAGGCAGGAGCGTACAACTGAGCGGCTCTTTGAGGAGGAGATTGAGCTCAAGTGGGAGAAGGGTGGCTCTGGCCTGGTGTTCTACACTGACGCCCAGTTCTGGCAGGAGGAAGAAGGAGGTAATGCTCACAACCAGGCAAGGACATTGCACCCAGACAATGCCTGCTGCATTCTCTTGGGGTTCTCTGTTCCATGTGGTGGATTCCCTGGTAGTGAGCCCAAACAAAAGCTAAGGAAGCGGTTTACCTTTACTATTTATGAGAGAATAATCATCCTTTTTAGGGGTAGGGGAGATCAGTGGGGTGGAAGGAAAATACCCACCCCAATTCTGAATGACCCTCCTCCCAGAGAAGAGATTTAAAAATACAAGCAAAAGCCCCAAATTCTAGAACATGTATCTAACTCTATATTTAGCTCTCAACAGAACTGAGTCCTTAGCGCACTCCTCTGGATGCTTTTATGTCTCTGCAGACTTTGATGAACAGACAGCTGATGACTGGGACGTTGACATGAGTGTGTACTATGATAGAGGTAATGGGCCAGAGGTTATAGTACTGGGAGGCAGAACTGGTGACCGGGCCTTGTGTCACATTGTAAGACCTGCATAGCAGGGACTGAGATGGGGTAGGGAAGGGGCCATCCCTTTGGGTAGTCCACTGAAAGGGTTTCTCTTAAAACCAGACATCTCTAGTTGGGTGTATTCAGTGCTGATTGTGGGCAGAGCCTCATAAGCTTTGTGGAAGAGGAAGAACATATGGGGAGAGCCCTCAGGGAGCTCTGGGTCTGATCGGCAAGCCCTGGAAGAGTGGGATGGTCAAGAGCCCAAGCTCTGGTTAAGAGTTGCGATTATGGAGTCAAAACCAACTGAGTTCTAATACCAGCTCTGTCATTTGCTGGCTTTATGACTTCTCTTCACCACAATTTCCTCATCTATAAAAGAGTGGAGACATAGTTCCTACTCTTGGCCAGCTCCCAGGCTAATGAGCAAGATAAGGTAATATAACAGAGCTCCATAAAAATGAAAAAGTAAATCTTGTGAGGGCGTTCTAGAAACCTGCTTTTCCCTGCCTTCTGATGAGAAGAACCCTCTCCCAAACTGGGTTCTGGTTTCTCAGATGGTGGAGACAAAGATGCCCGAGACTCTGTCCAAATGCGTCTGGAACGGAGACTACGAGATGGCCAGGAGCATGGTTCCATGATTGACCGCCAGGTGGGCACTTTTGAGCGCCACACCAAGGTGAGCATTGTGCCAACTCCATTGACCCCTCTTTTTTCTTTCCCTACCCTCATTCCTTCCCTTCCCCCGCAAGAGCCTTGTCTGAGTCTTGTCTCTTCTGCAGGGCATTGGGCGGAAGGTGATGGAACAGCAGGGCTGGGCTGAGGGCCAGGGCCTGGGCAGCAGATGCTCGGGGGTGCCCGAGGCCCTGGATAGTGATGGCCAGCACCCCAGATGCAAGCGTGGATTAGGGTGAGTGTGGCCGAGGGGCTTCCCTGGGGGCCTGAGCCAGCCTTTCAGCTGTACCTTGGTTTCCATCTTCTCACTGGTTTTGGGATGGGTGCCGGGGACTGCTGGAGGAACTTCAAAACAGAGTTAGAAGGAAAAAGTAGGTCTGGCACTTTGTCATTTTTTTAGACCAAGCTTTAAGGCTTAACAATACAGCAGTCCCTGGGTCCAGCTTACAGACAACTTGTACTTGCCCTTTAGTGTTATGTAAATTTGCCCTCACTTTGAAACGATTGAACCAACCCCTACTGCAACAAATCCTTCATCATAATCACCTTCACTGGCTGCACGTGCAGCTTTTAGATCATTGAAAAGGCTTTGAGCCTCTTCTCCCACTAAGGTAAGGCTGAATAAGAACTGTATGCTCCTGTTACTGACTTACAAATTCGAGGCAGTTAGGAATAGATCTCATTCATAACCCTGGGACTGCCTGTATTATTGATTCCTTTTGAGAGTCATTCCCCCTGCCCCTCAGTTTGAGAAGTTTGGACTTGATTTAATGTGATTGCCATTAGGGAGTCACTGATAGTCCTTGAGCAGAGTGGTGACAGAACGAAAGCAGTATGCGAGGCTTGGATGCTGGCACTGTTAATGGATAGATGAGGGAGCTGAAGAATGAAGATCCAGATTTAAAGGTTCTGCCTTTGGGACAAACCAGATATGTTGTAGTTACTTCCCTGTCCCTTCCTTTTCCCTTTACTGGGGTCTGAGAGAAAGCAGCCCTCTCACTGGGACTTCTTTATCCAGGTACCATGGAGAGAAGCTCCAGCCACTTGGGCAACTGAAGAGGCCCCGTGGAACTGGCTTAGGGCTCATCTCCACCATCTATGATGAGCCCCTGCCCCAGGACCAGCAGGAATCACTGCTCCGCCGCCAGCCACCCACTAGTATGAAGTTTCGGACAAATATGGCCTTCGTGAGGGGCTCCAGCTGTGCCTTGGACAGTGCCTCAGAGCCCGATTAACAAGGTCAGGGGCTTCCTTGGTCAGGATCACTCATAACTGCAGGATCACTCATCTCTGCCCAGCTTTATCTACCACTTAGAAAGAAGTCGCTGCAGCAGACAGAATGCAGCTTGTTCAGGGTGCTTTGTTCTCAACTTGCCTTCTGGTTCTCTACCTCAAGGGCATTTTTTTAAAAAGCCCCCTATCCGCCCCTTTGATATTAGGGCTTTTACTGATCGCTCCTCATTGGTCTTCTAACCCTAGTCCCTCCGTTTGCGCTTGCCCCCTTTGCCTCCCCAGTACTTTGAAAAACTGGATTGACCAAGGTTATCAGCATACCCTTCCTTGAGGGCTGTGAAGAAGCCCACAAAGAGAATTAAAGGGAACCGGATGCGGAAGAGGATTTGTGGGCCGGGAAGAGACAAGTCTTGGGGCGTCCACTGCCTCTAGCCCTCTCTGGGACCAGACAGATGAGAATCCGCGGAAGGAGGCCCAGGCGTGCGCCGTAGAGGGAGAATAAAGAAGTTTATGACTAGATTTTTCTGTTTTCTAATTTGGGCCTGGAGGAAGGTTGGGAAAATCTGGAGAAACTTTGCTCCCTAGGCTCCCATCCCAGCACATCCCTTAGTGGGGAAAACTGCGACTGCGTGGGCACGCCCCCCGTACCACGCTGCGTTGCCACCGTGGGGGCGGGACTTCCTCTCCTGGCCCCGGCGTTTACGACGTCGTGCGGAAGTCGAGTGCCGGTCCATTTGTTCCTCTTGCACCGCTCGGGTTCTGGGCTGTTCCGCCTAGGCGACCTCTAGGACTTCCCGCAGGCCTTCACCGAAGTGCGCGTTGGAGATCCCCTCGCCCTCAGATCTCATCCCCGGCCCGGCTCCCCTGCCTTTTTCCCGCTAAGCAGCTCTGCTCTGCTCGGGGACGCGTTCTGCCCATGGCGGGGGCCGCCCCGACCACAGCCTTCGGGCAGGTGGTGATCGGCCCGCCAGGCTCGGGGAAGACCACGTACTGCCTGGGCATGAGTGAGTTCCTGCGCGCTCTGGGCCGGCGTGTGGCCGTGGTGAATCTGGACCCGGCCAACGAGGGGCTGCCGTATGAGTGCGCTGTGGACGTGGGGGAGCTGGTGGGGTTGGCTGACGTGATGGACGCCCTGCGGCTGGGGCCCAACGGCGGCCTGCTTTACTGCATGGAGTACCTGGAGGCCAACATGGACTGGCTGCATGCCAAGCTGAACCCTCTCCGCGACCACTACTTCCTCTTCGACTGCCCTGGCCAGGTGGAGCTCTGCACGCACCACGGCGCCCTGCGCAGCATCTTCTCCCAAATGGTGCAGTGGGACCTCAGGGTGCGTCTGCGGTTGGGCAGGCCCGTTATGCAGATAAGACTTAGGGAGGAGGGCAGATGCCACGCCCCCATGTCACACAGCGAGGTAGGGACCGAGTTGATTTGTAGTAAAACAAGTGTGCGTTAGAGTTCTGGCTCTGTCACTGACTCGCTGTGTGGTCCTGGTTAAGTCAGTTAATCTCTCTGAACCTCAATTTTTTCATCTGTAAAATGGGTGTTACCCAACTCTGGATTATTGAAGTATGGAAGGGGTTATGTGGAAAGTGCCATAGTAATTACTGTTGTGAGTTGGTGGGCTAAAGTAAGTTTAAAGAATGGAGTCATATGCAGTGGAAAGTGAGAACCAGGTGCTCACTAGGTGGCTCACTGCAAGGCTTCTTATAAGGAAAAATGCTTCTATCCCCTGGGAGGAGGACACGAGGTTGGATATTAGTACAAAACAGAAGCAGGAGGACTAGTAGGGAAGCCTTGCACTCTGTCCTCAGGAGCCCCCAGTCTGCTGAGATACAGGCCCTAACGTTCACTGCCTTCCCAGACCACTCTCACTCTGTCTCTTTCTCCCTTCCCAGCTGACTGCTGTCCATCTGGTGGATTCTCACTACTGCACAGACCCAGCCAAGTTCATTTCAGTACTGTGTACCTCCCTGGCCACCATGTTGCATGTGGAGCTGCCTCATGTCAATCTCCTCTCCAAAATGGACCTCATTGAACACTATGGGAAGCTGGGTAAGGGCTCCTGATCCCATCAGGCAAGGAGTAGGGCAGCAGATGGGCAGGAGTGAAGCACAGATGTTGGCTAAAGGAAGCTGCTTTAAACTATGCAGGGCCTGATGATAATAGCCATAGGCAGGTTCTGACCCTTCCCAGTTATTTTGGGTCACTCTGTGGCAGATAATGTTCTAGATTTTGGAGACAGAAGAATTAAGAATGACTCAGGTTTCAGACCAAGCCTGTGTATGTATAGGGGTGCCATTTGTCAAAGGGGGGAAGACTGAGGGAGAAGTAGGCTGGTATGAGGCAGGGGCCCAATAGCCAGCACTTAGTGCTCTGCTGAGCTGGGAACATCAACACCCTAAATAGCATCTCCAGCCACAAAGGAACCTCGAAAAGATCAGCTAAAATGACCAGAACTGAACAAGGAAGGAAATTGACAAGCCAGGGCCTTGTCCAGAAAGGCTGAATGGCTGCCAGTCAGGACATGGAGGCATGTCAGCCTTGTAGGGGGCCCCTCAGCCCAGGGTCCTGGTCCATCTCTTGGCAAGCACAGAGGCCCCATTTAATCTGCACTCAGATATACAGTGTTCCCAAGTCCCTCTCCCCCTTCATAGCCTCCAGCCCAGATGGCTACATGGTGGTCCTAGAGCTCTCTAGCTCTGAATCTTGCCAGTCATTCACATAAGAGACTGTGCTTGTGAGATGAGGAAACTGAGGCCTAGAGATAGTATATGAATAGCCCAAGGTCAATCACATAGCTCGTATATTAGCTTAAATGAAATCCAACCCCAAGTGTATCTGGCCCCAGTTTCTTAATTCTCAGGGAGAAATGTACCTGTTAGCAATCCAGCAAGTTGTGTTGGAATGCCCAGCACATCCTTTCTTGTAGGAATGGGGAAGTCAATTTCTAATCAGCCAGTTGCTGCTTAAGCTTGGAGGCAGAGGCAGGGACTGAGTTGATTGATTGATCTCTGTCCGCCTGATTCCCCCAGCTTGCTTTGGGACAGACTTGCCAAGCAGCCCAACTATTTGAGTTTTCTGGGCAGAGACGGGCAGTTGCAGGAAGTGGAGTGGCACTTTCCTTCTTTTAATAGGACGTTTGTACTCCTAGAACAGACCCAGGGACCTCAGAATCATCTAGTTTGGTCTCTGCATTTTATATTGAGAAGGAACAAGCCCAGAAAGGGAAAATGATTTACCTAAGAGGCCACCCTGCTACTTGGTCAGCATTTATGGAGCTCTGGTGGCACAGTGGTCAAGAGCTCAGGCTGCTAACCAAAAGGTCAGTAGTTCGAATCCATCATCCTGCTCCTTGGAAATCCTATAGAGCAGTTCTTCTCTGTCCTATGGGATCGCTATGAGTCGGAATCGACTCGACGGCAGCAGGTTTTATGGAGTCTTGATAGTGTTTGTGCCAAGCCCCAGGGATACCACCTGACTGAGCTTCATGCGGTAGGGGCCATGTTCACCACTCTGGCTCCAGCATTGAGCACGATTCTTGGTACACGTTCACTGTCATTACTTAGAGCCATTAATCAAGCATTTATCTGTACTGGAGTTAATCACATTTAATCCTTACAACAGTCCCCATGAGGTGAGCATAGCTGGTAAATGGCAGAGCTGGTAGGTAAAACCAAGTACTCTCTTTTTACTGACCTCATTTCACTGCCTCAGTCAATATTTGCTGAATGGATGAGTGAATGAAAGCAAAGGAAGAAAGTGTGCTTCTCAAGTCTTTAGCCTGATGCCAGCTGTTCCTGAACACTCATCTCTCACTTTAGCCTTCAACCTGGACTATTACACGGAGGTCCTGGACCTCTCCTACCTGCTTGACCACCTTACTTCGGACCCATTCTTCCGCCACTACCGCCAGCTCAACGAGAAACTGGTGCAGCTCATCGAAGACTACAGCCTGGTCTCCTTCATACCTCTCAACATCCAGGTACTGGGGACTAGGAGGCCTCTTCCTCCTGGCTTCCCCCGTGCCTGGGACCTCATCACGTCCAGGGTACAGGAAGCTTTAAGGGCCTAGACGGTGGTCTTTGTCCTAGGTCTAACTGTTGTTGGGTCCCCTTGGTTTCAGGATCAGGGGCTGTGGTAGGCAGGATTCCAGTAAAGGGGGTGACCAGACTTTCACCCTGTCTGTTCTGTATTGAGCTAACTTGTCTCTTCTCTTTCTAATACCACACCTTTCTCCTCTAAAATGAGGAAGTTGAACGCTGTAATGTTAATTATAACAACTACCACTTACTGAAGGCTTTCTGTGTGCCAAGCACTGTGCTAAGGGCTGAACATGCATTATCTTGATTTGTCCTTCCTATCATGTGAGGCATGGACTGTTCTTACCACTGTTATTAAAAAAAAAAAAAAGTTGCTGTCGAGTCGATTCTGACTCATAGCAACCCTATAGGTCAGAGTAGAATTGCCTGATAGGGTTTCCAAGGAGTGGCTGGTGGATTCGGACTCCTGACTTTTTGGTTAGCAGCTGTAGCTCTTAACCGCTGCACCACCATATGGATGAGGGAACAGTTATAGCCAGGTTCCATAACATGCATGTCTACTGAGTGCCTACTGTTAGCTAAGGACTGTGCCAGGCTCTTGAGATGCCTCAGTAGACAAGTCCCTGACCTCAAGGGGCACACAGTCAAGTAGAGGAGGTAGACAAGTTAATAGGCATTTCTGAGATGACGAGATCGACCAAACAGTCAACAGTTACTTCAAAACATAAATGAGAATGTAAGGGGGCAGGGAAACTAGATTAATGGAAATGAAACAGCCAGAATGGAAATAATGAGAATATTCACACATTGTGAAGAATCTTACCAGTGTCACTGAACAACTTGCATAGAAATTGTTGAATGGGAACCTAAACTGTTGTGTAAATCTTTACTGAAAACACAATAAAGTATTTAAAAAAAAAAAAAGGTCAAGATCAGAGCTACAAGAGGGAGCATCCTTAAGGCACTGTGGGTGTGCATGAGAGGGGCATATCTGTGCTAACCTGGGTGGGCTGATGACCAGGGAAGATGGGATTTAGCCAGTCCACTGAGGGGTGTAAGAGTACTCCAGGCCACGGAGGCTGCACGTAGAAAGGCATCAGGGGGCAAGATCGAGGGCGGTGTGTTTGTAGAGTGCAACACATTTGGTTAACAACCTCAGTTCTGCACACTTCCGTTGCCACTCACAGAGCTGTTTCTGTCCTCCCCACCCAGGACAAGGAGAGCATCCAACGAGTGCTGCAGGCTGTGGATAAAGCCAACGGCTACTGCTTCGGGGTCCACGAGCAGCGAAGCCTGGAGGCCATGATGTCTGCTGCGGTGGGAGCCGACTTCCATTTCTCCTCGTATCCTTGCTCTCTAGCCTTAACCCTCTTCCCGGCCACAGCCAAAGGGCGAGACATGGGGCCCAGGGATGGCCACAGCTTTATAGGTGACTGATTTCATGTTGGCCAGTCAGGCTCCCTGGTGATTGTCTTTCATGTTCAAGTGCTTCACAGTGCTTCAGTTGGTTGTACCTGAGGAGGAGGAAGGAAATTGATCAGAAGAAACAACAAATACAGAGACCCAGAAATGAGAGGGCAGGGAGAAATGCAGGAGGTTAGGTTGCCTGGTGTGTTGAGTGTGAAGGGGAAAAGGAGATGCAGGGGAGGTGGGCAGGGCTGGTGCTGGAGGGCCGAGTCGCCTGCTAAAGAGTGTGGACTCCAGCTCGTGGATCGGCAGTGGGGACCAGCAGAGTATTGCTGAATGCCTGATTACATGTGTATGTTAGAAGAAGGCCTCTGAGTGTGTGTCTTAGTCATCTAGTGCAGCTATAACAGAAATACCACAAGTGGGTGGCTTTAAGGAACAGAAATTTATTTTGTCACAGTTTAGGAGACTAGAAGTTCAGATTTGGACACCAGCTCTAGGGGAAGGCTTTCTCTTTCTGTCAGCTCTGGGGGAAGATCCCTGCCTCTTTCAGCTTCTTTCTCTTCGTTCTTCGGAGATCTTGTGTGGCCTGGCATCTGTCTTCCCCCATCTGTGCTTGCTTCTTGCTTAATCTTCTCTTTTATCTCAAAAGAGATTGGCTTAAGACACATCCTACACTCTTACTACATTGTTAATATAACAGAGAAGACTCCTTCCCAAGTGGGATTATAACTACAAGTATACTAGGATTTATGACACCTGTTTTCAGGGGACACAATTCAGTTCATAACTGTGGAAAAGTGCATTTGAGGGATATGCTTGGGAACAGAAGAGTTTTTGCTTTCTCTTTAGGTGAGAAGGGATGAAACATTTACAGTGAGTAGAAGGTAGGGTATGGATTGGAAAAATATTAAGGCATTAGACTATGAATCGAACATAGGTTTGCTATAGTTAGAGTCGACTTCATGGTGCACAACGAGACTGTGAGAGTTGGTGAGTGGGTGGTTACGGGATAGATGGAGGTGGAGTGAAATTTAGATTTCTCACATTTCTGGCTTGGACTGTGGGGTGAGTGGTTGTGCTAGTCAAACCACTAGGCAAGACTAGGTGGAGGGGTCCGGTTTGTCCTGGGGTTGGAAGGGATGGGAGCTGGGAGGTGTGCTGTGTGTGAGGTGGGGTGTGCTACATCCAGAGAAGATACCCAGGAGGCAGCTAGACGTTTAGAACTACGGCTGGGTTAGTGATGAGTACAAGTGGAGCCAAGGGCATGGATGGGGTGTCCCTCAGGTCACAAAGGCTGTGCGTGAGGCAGGACAGGGAAGTCCAGGCCCTCTAGGCTAATAGTCTCAGAGATTCAGCATCCAAACACAGGATGCTAGGCACAAAGGGCCCTCTAGAGTCCCTGGACATGAAGGAAAATAATTTTGACCAGCACTTACTGATCTGTGTCAGGCCCTCAGACGTGAGAAACGAAGCTCACCAGGGAACAGACAAGTCTCAAATGATGGCTGCAGAGTGTGCACTGTCTGATAAAGGTACCGAGGAGCCGTCTCACACAAGCAGTTAATGTTGGCAAATTCAACTGCATGTGCTCAGCAGAAAAGGGCAGGAGCCAGTTTAAATAGTGCTATAATTGTATTTTGCGCATTGTACATTCTGCATTCGTATTATCGTACAAGATTGTATTCACAAAACCATGTGTCCTATATTTAATGAATGATGTAAGGAATTTTCAAGGGTAATTTTGATCATATACATTTGTGCTAATTTTAGACCCTGACCCCCACCCTACCCACTTAAAGTCAACTTCATTCTATATATAAGGCAGGGATTTGCAAAAAGAAGGGAATGGTCAGCTCTGCTGGAGATGGGGAGTAAAGGAAAGTCTCTTGGAGGTTGTACCCTTGAGTTGCATCGTCTCAAAGCGAGGGTTAGCCAAGCTGATTAAGAGGGAGAGGGAATTCAAGGCAGAAGGAACAGTATACACAAAGGTGTAGGGATTCAAGGTTGGGACATGTTTTGGAGTTGCCAGTAGAATGGCATGACTCGTGGACACATAGGTCAGGGCCTCTGGCCGGGAGCAGCAACAGCGTGAGACAGGTGGGCAGGCAGAATGAGGGGCTTCACGTGCCCTGCCCAGGAATCTGTATTTCAGGCCACAAACAAGGAAGGTTTTCAGATTATTCCACATCAAGCAAGATGAGTTGAATGATCCTCAGGGCTGACTTGGGCAGGTACGAGGCAGTCCCTCCTGAGGAAAATGAAGGTGAGGGGCACAGGTTCCAGAGAGTAATTTTGAGTAGGGATGGGATGGATTTTTTTAAAGGTTTTTTTGTTTGTGAAATACATCTGAAAAGAATGCATATACAAAGAACTGAGACATGAGAAAGCATTGGTTCAATATTAATGAATCTACAAGAATTAGGATTTTGGGAAGGTGGAAAAGATTACCTAAACATTAAAAAAAAATTTGGAGACCACTACCAAAATAAGCCGATATATTAACACCTATGAAGAGTATTTGTAAGACTCTTTCCATGATTTTTATTAAACTAGAAAGCCTCAGCTGGCTGCTGTAGGGTTCCCCATATGTAAAACAGAAATAAGGGGATTCCCCTGACTGGTCCCCATGGGGGTGAGATGGATTTTGATTGATAGGCCCGTAAAAAATGGTAAAGAAAGGTCTGGGTGCCCACAGCATCATTTGGTGGCTAAGTTCTTCACTTGGCAGGGTCTCATCCTCATTAGGCCCCTTTTATAGATTACGAAATTGGGGCTTCTAGAGGAGGCAGAAGGAGCCCTGATGGTGCAGTGGTTAGGCTCTCAGCTGCGAACCAAAAGGTCAGCGGTTTCAACCCACCAGCTGCTTTTTGGGAGAAGGATTACACACTTGGAAACCCTATGGGGCAGTTTTCCTCTGTCCTATAGGGTCATTATGAGTCGGAATCAACAGCAGTGGGTCAAAGGAGGCAGAATGGCAGCCCCACTTTCAAACCTAGTTCTCTCTGGTTGTTAATTCCAGTTCTGACATTGGGGTCATCTAGTAAAACAGCTGTGTGTCCTAAGTTATATTTCTTGGCTGACAGCCATCTAGTCATACCCTAGACGTCAGGCCGGCCAGCCTCACAGTGGTCCATCTGCAGTGTTACAGTCTTTTGCTTTGTGAATCTGATTTGTGACTTCCTGTTCCACTTTCCTGCTGTCCTAGAGAGAGGTAGGAGGCACCCTACAGCCCAAGCCGGAATTTTATCACTTTCTTTGAGCCAGATATGTAGGCACTTCTTATTGTCTCATTTAATCCTTAGAACAACTCTGCAGCTGAGAAAAAGGAAGTAGTAAAATCAGGATTTGAACCCCTGCAGTCTAGCTCTAGAGCATGTGCATTGAACCAGAGCTGGAGGGTTAGCACTTTTATCCTCAGCCACATGGGGAGGATGCAAATGCTGTAGGAGCACTTGATCTGGATGCTTTTGGGGGCTTCTCAGGCCCAACTGGCCCCCTTTGCCTGTAGCCTGAAGCTGTAATTATGAGGAAAGGAGAGGGCTAGGAGGAATATGCCAGACATGGTTGGGAGGTGAACATTATGGAGGTCAAGTCCTAACCACGCCAGCTCCCCATCCTCTGTTTATGCTGTCAGCCTTGACTGGCCCGCCTGCAGCACCCTGGGCATCCAGGAGAAGTACCTGACACCCTCGGACCAGTCAGTGGAGCAGGAAGCCATGCAGCTGTAGCCACGAGCTGGGCCCTGAGAGCAGGACTCATCACCACAGCGCTGGGGAAACGGACGTTCCCAGTGGGCAGCAGGCTGCAGAGCCAAGGGCAAGTCCTCCCAGCCAGACCTGGGAGGCTGGCGAGGAGACAGTCAGCTCTGCAAAGCCCTGCTGGCAAGAAAAGCCAAGCATGGCATCACATAGCACTGAGCAGGGCACCCACCGATGCCCCCGGTGCTCGTGAGCTCTGGGCCCTGCCACGAGGAACGTGGAGCACTGGCCCTACTCAGACAAGGATGGAATGTGCTTTACTACAATACAAGAGTTTATTTTCTACTTTCTGTGGCTTCCAAACTTTCTTTGACCGTCCAGGTCCGGGGGTTGGAACAGAACAAAGAATGTCTCTCTCTTTCCCCTCCAGTGGCTGCCTTTCCCCCTGAGTCCTGTTTCTTCCTATAGGGCAGGCAGTGTTTCCCCCAGAACACAGCATCATACTAGAGGGTTGACACTCAGTGTCCGATCTTGTGCTTTTGTTAATCTTTCATTTTAACAGAGAGTTAGCCCCAGGCTTGAGCCCTCGCAGGCAACACTTTCTAGCTAGACTTTAAACACATTGTTTTATTTTCATTGTATTTATTTTACAGTTTTATTCTATTTTTGGCAAGTGCTACTAGTTTTCCATTTATAGTAGTGAGTAAAAGCTTACTTTAAAAATGAAATTATTTATATAAAGTGAGTCTGTTTAAAGAAAAAATATTAAGTATATAATATGACAGTTTTATGAGGGTATGGTAAAAATTGTGCAGATGGCTTAAAGTTGAAAAATACTGGAGCTTGCTTGCTTTGCTCTTGCATCCGGTTGAGTGCAGTTTATATTTTCAGCCAACAGGTGGCAGCCCAGGTTCACTTTTGCAGTTGTAGCGTGGCGGCAGAAGGTGACAGATGGACTAGGGAAGGCTGTTGTGCCAGAAGTCTTGTCTGCAGATATTCAGGCCCGTTAACACATATGAAGGGCTTGGCATTTTACAAAGTGCTTTCACACACATGGTCCTCCTGTGGTTCTCACAGCAGCCCCTAGAGATAGACAAGATGAGGAATGTTACTAAGCCCAATTTTACAGTGAGGAAACAGTAAGCTGAGTTTGAACTTCGGTTAGCCTGGCTGTCTCATAGCCCACTTTGCTGATTTCTTAATTGCATGTGTCCCACCTTTGATATACTTGCTGGTAAAAAGTCAACAGTTCTTATCCCCAGGATTTTGTAGCCAACCAGGAGAAAGAACCTACGCATCTGGAAAGCACGGCTTCAGTAAATCAAGGGGAAGATCGTTCACTGGTGGTTTGGGCAGTTGAAGAATTCAGTTTAGTAAAATCTATTCTGAAGTGGCATTGAGATGGGGGTGACTCAGCTTTGCCTCCCAGTTTTGAAGGCAGAATAGTGAGGGGCTCTGAGGAGGCTCCTGTGACTGAAACAGTATGAAAGCAGCGACCTCAGCTCCCACGCCTGGCTGTACGGAGGATAATAACTGGGTGCTGCTCCCATAGCCTCTTTTATCTGAGGAGTTCAAAGCACCTCAACCCTATTAACACCCTGCACAGTAGGTGGGGAGTATCAACTGAGCAAGCCAGGGAAACTGAGGCCAAGAGGCACAGCCTGGGGCTGGCTGTGAGTCACTTATGGAGGGAGCCCAGGAATCCTGACGCACAGGCTGCTGGACAAATCCTTCATCAACCAGGGCGTGAGGTGGGTGCTGTGGTCACAGATTTTGATGTGCATCACTCACAGAGGTCCTTGCTGTCACCAAAGCAAACCGGGCATGGGGCTGGACGGCATCATTAGAGCTTTATGACCTTGTATCCAAACACCCTCAGCATTTATTCTCTGCATTCATGGAGTGGAGAAGGATGAGAAATAATCCAAAACAGTATTTTCAGGCCTTGGTGTGACAACAAGGGTGTTTTCTTGTCCATTAAATAGCTTCTGTTCTCCTCTCACCGACATCAAAGTGCATTTCTGTTCCCTTGTGCATACACTGACATGATAGGGAGGGGACAGAACAATGCAGAAGAGAGAAACAGCTGGGCTTCAGGTGAGGCCTGTTCAGGGTGAGACATGTATGTAGGGTGAAAGACCATCTTCCAACATGGCTGCCACATGGCAACTATTCTGAAGTTTTCTTTTTTCTTTTTGGAAAATCAAGAGAAAACTATGTCATCCATAATACCATAACATAGAAATAATCACTAATATTTAAAATCTATAATAAATGTACTTAAATATATGTATAAATATATATGATATACTTTTCTGTACTTACATAGGGATGATATAGAATATATATGTGGGATATTTTATAATTACTTGGTAACCTGCTTTTTTCAGTTAATGTGCTATCTAATTAAAAATATAACGACTTAGACAAAAGTAGATTAGTGGTTCCCAGGAGCTGGGGGGTGGGGGGAGTAGGGAGTTATTGCTTAAAAAATTTTTTTTTTTCTAAAAGTTTTACATTTCTCTAGGATTCAAACAAAAATGTTTTATTGGTTGTTTTAGATCTGGAGTCCATGTGACAACAGGACAATTTATGATGCTTGAAATTTGTAGAACGAAAACATAAGATTTTCTTTCACTGAAAATATTCCATATTAGTTGCCTTGAATTATACATCATTTTAAAGTGGAATGTCGAATTAAAAAGTGCTAATCCAGGGCATTTAGCCCATTTAAAAGATATATAAATATATATAAAATTCATTTCCTTCTCTTGCAACGTGTGTGTGTATATGTGTGTGTGTGTGTGTGTGTGTGTGTGTGTGGAGAGACCTTTTATAATGGCTGCATAATAATTTATTGTATGACTATAACATTGTTTACCTATCCAGACTTCCATGGTTAGCTTATTTGTAAGTCATTACCAATTTTTTACTATTGTAAATAGTACTGTGATTAACATCTTTGTATCCAAATCTTTGAGTCTCTTATTTTTTCCTTATGATAAAGTTATACAAATGAAATAGCTGACATTTTAGTTGTATTGCCAGAATGCTTTCCATAAAAGTGACTACGCTTTCACTGACAGTGTATGAAGGTGGTCTTCTCGCCTACAGAACTCACTAGGTAATGGTAAATAACTTCTGGAGTGCCTTAGAAGGACCTTTTTGGTCATCTCTGCTAACCTGAATTGGAGACCCCAACAACTGAAAGATGGCATTCCTAACTCTCAGGGGCCACAGGTAATTGGGAAGGCTTCCAGTCTAGACAAAGAAGCTTAGGTTCGAGGTAAGGCCCTGAAGTCCACAGACCTGAAACACACCCATTCTGCTCTCAGGTGTTTCTGAATTACCAAAATACCCACAGTTGGCCGAGTAGGAAGTCTGATCTCATTAGGGTATGTAAGAAAGAGGAAGGGAAGATGGATTTTAGGGATTCGCTGCCCCTTCCCAGCCCTCCTGGGAGGGGAAGAGGACTGGCTTCAGACTTACCCCAACATTAGCAAGGCCCACCCTGTTTTTGAAAGCAGTTGGGGAGGCCCAGTTATCTCAGAATCCTAGAGGGAAACTCTTTAGCAAGCTGAGTAGTCCCCCCTTCCTTCCTTTTCTTTCTCCTTTATTGCTCCTGGCTGTTGAGCCCTCACCCAACCTATTCTGGGCCGCCCACCTTCTCTTCCTCTCCCCTTTAAAAGGAAGAGTCCCAGATTAGCACATACCTCAATGGTGTCAGGACAATTTAAATCTGTGTCCTCTTTTAGCCAGCCCCTAACTCAAAGTCACACCAGAGGTCACATAATCTGTGCTAAGCTAAAAGTCTCCTCTACAGTCAAAGAAATTTCAGGTAAGTTTTCTCTGGAGGAGGAAAGGGGAAAATGTGCCTGCCTGTCTGCCTGCCTTCCCTTTCCTTTCTTCTCTCACAACAAATATTTATTCAATGCTATAATCTGAGGTATCAAATGCTATACCTAATCACAGATGAAGACTCCTGGTTTTTCGAGACCGAGATTTCCCTTTCTTATCTCTGGACAAACCCTCTCTTATCTCTGGACAAACTTCCCAGAGAATGCTAAGGAGAAGATTGGGTGGAGATGAGAGATCAATCAGCCTCTGACACCCCCAGGGTGACTTACCTGTCTGCTGCCCCCACAGACATTCCTGGCTCTTGACTCAGTGGGTAGCTGGGGATGGGGGGAGGTTCTGAGGAGATAGGGACCTACCCTGCAGATATCTGTCCGCCCCACCCCACACATACAGCAAGAATTTGGGGTATCGGGGTGGACACTGTAAGCAGGGTGAAGAATTTAAAGGGACAAAGAATGGAACCAGGTAATGGAAGCCTGAACTTAGTGAATAAGCCAGGAAGTTGGTCCACTACACAGTCTTCTTCTCATTTAAGGCAGTTCCTATCTGCTGGGCCCTGGAGTGGAGTTAAACTGAGTGTAGTAAGGCTTTCTTGATTCTTAGAAAGTCCAAGAAGGGAGCAGGGCAGCATAGCAGAATGTGGTTCTTCTCAAACTTATTTTTAGTTCATGAAACTACAATATGCAAAACAGACATATGTGTGGCTATTTTAGCCAAGTATGGGGAAACCCTAACCACTGGGAAGCTTCTAGGGAATCCTCTGAGCAGTTTGAAAATAACTGTTGTAATTTTAAAAGCATGGGCTTGGAGTCAGCCCAGTTCTACTCCCCAAGCACGTAAGTGTTTTTTGTATAACTTTGGTTATTAGGTTATTAACCATTCCTAGCCTTAGTCCCCTTGTATACAAAACAAAGATGATAAAAGCTGTTGCTGTGAGGATTAAGGTATGAAACTGCCTGACACACAGGAGTCATGCCAGCTGCTTTTATTACTATATTCTCTAAGAAGAGGCAGGAGTGGGGCACTGTTGGTTAGAAGAGCCATACTGGCACAAGCAACTGAAATCAGGAACTTCTCTGAGAAGACATTGGACACTGGATATGTGTGTGAGGGGGAGAAGTATCTGGCCTTTCTGGAAGGAGCCACAGTGGCCTGCCTGACCCCATACTTGGCATCCGTAGGGTGCCTGGCTGATTCCAAGAAGGCAGTCTTGGCCTCTGTCACCTGTGGATCTACAAAGCCAGTTTGGACTTTGTTGTCTGAAGTAACTATAGATAAGAGAAAGAAGAGTAAATACCTTTTCTAGAGAATTTTAGATTGCAAATTTTCCTCATACCACTCAACAAATCCTCTTGGGAGGGGAGATCTTTGAAGCCCTGGGCTCCATTTCCTGGAGCACCATCTGGTAGCACAGAAAGGACAGGGCTGCAATCTTTGTGAGCCCAATCTCTGACTAGCAGCCCTGCCTCATTCCAGAACCAGCTGTATTTCCATTTTCACAACATAAGAACTGGACTGCCATTAAACCTTATTCCCAAGCATTTGGAAGGATGGTTTAAAACCTAAATTCTAAGTACCTTGTACATGAAACTTTGCTGGAGTCACTGTGGGAAGAAAGGCAGAAGAATGAGACAAGTATCATTCTTGGGGAGCTCTTCAATTGAGGAGATAAGAAATAAACCCAGGATGTACCCAGAGGCAGAATTAGGTAGATAAGAAATCATAACTGAATAAATACCTACATAAATGTAAGGGATTAGATAGTATATCCAAAGCTCTGTGTGTATGTTAAAGGGAGAGGAAACTTGGCTAGTCAAGTTTTGACCTGAAATTGGAAAAAAACCAAACCCATTGCTGTCGAGTCAATTCCGACTCATATGACCCTATAGGACAGAGTAGAACTGCCCTACAGGGTCTCCAAGGAGCGGCTGGTGGATTCAAACTGCCAACCTTTTGGTTAGCAGCTGAGCTCTTAACAACCACTCCAGGGCTCTGAAATTTGAAAAAGGTTAAAAAAAACATGCTCAAGTGGAAAGGATGGTGAGAAGGGGAGAATGGCCACCATGAAATTTCCAGTGGAACTTGGTATTCTTACCAGCTTTGCCTCTGGGACTGATTTTTTTTTTTTTTTTAAATTAAGGTACAGTTCACGTATCATAAAATTCACCCTTCTAAAGGGTACAATTCAGTGATTTTGGGTATATTTACAAAGTTGTGCAACTTTCACCACTAGCTAAATCCAGAATATTTCATCACCCTTTTAAAAAAACCCTATACCCAGTAGGAAGCCCTGCTAGTGCAGTGGTTAAGACTTGGCTGCTAACCATAAAGGCCGGCAGTTCAAATCTACCAGCTGCTCCTTGGAAACCCTACGGGGCAGTTTTACTCTGTCCTATAGGGTCGCTATGAGTTGGAATCCACTCAACAGCAGTGAGTTTGGTTTTTTGGTTGGTACTCAGTGGCAATGTGAGGATGGTGCAGGACCAGGCAGCGTTTTCTGTTATACAGAGGGTTGCTGTGAGTCGGAATCAACTCGACGGCACCTAACAACAACAACAACAATAGCAGTGGGACAGAAACTTTTTAAATGTCAAATCTAGGCCAGAAAAAGATGGCAAGAAATGCTCACTGAGACCCCACCTCGGGTAACAGTAAGAAAGATTCTAGCTCTAGAGAGAGAATATTTTTTCTAATATGTCATGGACAAAAGGTCTGGGACCCTTGTCAAAGTTGGTACCTAAACAAGTTCACATCTAGCCCACCCTAACAACCATCTGATTTGGTGATGCTCCAATCCACAGCACTGCCTTTGAAATCCTTCAACACCAACATGCTACCTTAAGGTAGCTCATATATTTCCCTATATAGGCCAGCCACGTCAGAGTTATCTGAAGCCCAACAGGCAGATGCTAGAGACTGAGATGGAAGAAGAAAGAAGTTCCTTTCCCAGGACCAACCCCAGTAAGAGAAAGTCACCAGACCCGTCTGGTGAGAGAAACCAGGTCACCTCGAAAGCTGTGGGAGAGTCACTTGCCATAAGCCTAGCCCAGAGTTTCTGCCTGGTTTGGAACCTTGAAACAAACCCAGCACATCTTCAGGAAAGGGGAG